CCCTCTTCTTTATCCATTCCTATCTGTTGATGGACATCTAGGTTGCTTGCATGCCCTGGCTATTGTAAATAGTGCACAGTGAACACTGGGGTGCATGTATCCTTTTGAATTACAGTTTTCTTCAGATAGACATCCTATAGCAGGATTGCTGGATCATATGGCAACTCTATTTTTCATTTTTTGAGGAACGTCCATGCTGTTTTCCATAGAGTTGCACCAGTTTACGTTCCCATCAGCAGTTTAAGGTTCCCTTTTCTCCACACCTGCTCCAGCATTTATTATATGTAGACTTTTTAATGATGGTCCTTTTAAGCGGTATGAGGTGGTACCTCATTGTAATTTTGATTTGCATTTCTCTGATTATTAGCAATGATGAGCATAATTTTGTGTGCCTGTCAGCCTGTATGCCTGTGTCTGTCTTCTTTGGAAAAACGTCTATTTAGATCTTCTGCCCATTCTTCAATTAAGTTTGTTCATTTTTTATTATTGAATTGCATGAGCTGCAAACAGATTCATTTCACATGTCTTCCTGGTATTATAGTTCTGTTCCAGCTATTAAACACTTCTAGAAGGCACCCTAATCCTGTCTTTCAGTTGATCATGGACTCCCTGGACAGCACCTACCATGTCTGAGGCATTGCACTTGACTTCTGTGAGTTTGCTTCATCCCCATACTGAGCCTGTGAAATCCTTATTATTTCCATTTTGTGGCAAAGAAACCTCAGAGAGGTTAATTTTCAAATCCCAGTCTCTCTGGTGCCATAGCCTATGGTATTATCTCTACAACACTGTCCATGCAGATGTTCACAAATGTGTAACTGGATGAGCAAAAACTAAGTCACCAGTTGTCCAACTGGTAGCACATGCAGAGTGCACAAGAGTCTTTTGGCCAAAAATAGCTTCCCAATATATGGACAGCTGTAAAATATTGCCTCATAGGCCCCTGGGGCCTCAACTAAGCAAGAGATGGATGAGCTGGGGCATGAGAAACACATTTTGTCATTGTCAACTGTTAAATTAGCAGAAGAACTTCATGCACTAAGTAGTGCTGTCAGGGAATGGGATGCAGGAAACTTTCATTTGGAGAGGAGAGAACTAGTTCTGGAAAATGAGATGTGGCCATTGAAGATAACACAGGGCTGCTGAATGCCTGGAGAGAAAAATAATGATAATATATCATAGATACCAGTGAAAATACCTCCTATTCATTGAGTGCCTACTATATACTAGGCTTTAAATAAATGTATCAGACCTATTAGCTTCTGGTAAGATCTAATAAACTGCTCATAATGGCCCCATGAGGTATCATCATGTTCCCCTGATTCTAAGAGACCATCAATTTAATAAAAGCTTTTAATAGAAATGCATATATTACACTTACAGAATGCTGTTTTGTTGTGTGGTGCTCTTATGATTGGAATGTCAGTCAGTCAGTTCAGTCACTCAGTCGTGTCCGACTCTTTGCGACCCCGTGAATCGCAGCACGCTAGACCTCCCTGTCCATCACCAACTCCCAGAGTTTACCCAAACTCATGTCCATCGAGTTGGTGATGCCATCCAGCCATCTCATCCTCTGTCGTCCACTTCTCCTCCCGCCCCCAATTCCTCCCAGGAATGTAGGATGTATTTATTCATATCATAGCTACTTTATTCTTCAAGATGACAATGCATGTTTGAACCTGAGCCTTCATCTTCAGGGTCTGAAGAGTCTTCTGGTTCCCTCAGCTGTGCCCATAATACCCTCTTATCACCCACCTGGGATGTCTTCTGCCCCTTTCAGTTGACAGGGTAATTTAGAGCAGAATAAAGAATGCAGGGTTCCTTCTGCATTTCCTATTTTATTAAACTTGCCATGTCCCTCCCCTCCCACCGCTTCTTAATTGAATCATCTGTCTTTTGACTGACTGAGAAATACACCTTCTCAATGCATGACAATCACACAGCATTTCCAAGCTCTGAAAATCAGGTGACCCAGGCTTGAGCAATTCGCCTTATAGGGTGCCTGCATTGCCTTCTAGTACATTCCTCTGTCTGATGACCAGCAAGGCCGTTGCTATTGTTTTCAACATTGATTATAAGATGCAGTCCTATTACTTAAAAAAAAAAAATTTAAGTGTATCTTAGCGTTGGTTTGTGACACTGAAGGTAAAGACGTAAAGATGAAGGTAAACTCTTAAGAGTTTAACCTCCCACGCCGTCATGGCTGGCAGGGAGCGTAACTGGGAACCCAAACCAAGTCGGCCACGTTGCTAGTCACTGTTCAAGGGTGCAGCTGTCTCTCCCCTCTTCTTGTGAGCCCTCTACAGTCAGGCTGTTCTTCACACCTTTCCAACCAAAACCACTCTTGTCAAGGTCACTTGTGCCTCCACACAGCCAAATCCACTGGCCAATTCTTAGCTGCCATCTTAGTTCAGCGTCACTTGACACCAACTTCATCCTTACCTTTCACGGGTCTCCTGCATGTCTGTCAGAGACTTCTTAGTGTCTCTTCCTCATCCCCACTCATCTTCCTGGCCTCTGTGAACCAGTCCTCACATTTCTCTTGCCTTCTTGCCCTTGCATTTTCATCTAGTCTCTGAACTAGCTCCGAGACTATGCACAAACAACTCATACAAGGAAATCTGGAGCTTGCCCTGCTCCACACCCATTCTGCTGCCTACTCTTCATCACTGCTTGGATGTCTAATGGGCTTTGCAATCTTAATGTCTTAAACCAAAGTCCTATTTCCACCCCCACTTCATCCTAAACTGGTTCCTTTTGTGGTCTTTTGCATCTCAATAAATGGCAACTTACTTCTTCTGGATGCTTGGATAAAAAACATTGAAGTCATCCTAGAGTCCACTCTTTCCCTCCCTGCATTCAATCTTTTAACTAGTACCATCAGCTCAACTATAAAATTACATCTAAAATTGAATCCAGGGCTTCCCTGCTTGCTCAGTGGTAAAGAATCTGCTGGCCAGTGCAGGAGACATGGGTTCAATTCCTGGTCTGGAAAGATCCCACATGCAGCAGAGCAACTAAGCCTGTGTGCCACAAATATTGAGCCTGTGCGCTGGAGCCCGGGAGCTGCAGCTACTGAAGCCTGTGCACCCCAGAGCCCACACTCTGCAACGCGGGGAGCCACTGCAACGGGAAGCATGTGCACCACAACTAGAGGATAGCCTCCTCTCTCCACCACTAGAGAAAAGCCCACAAAGTAGTGAAGACCCAGCACAGTCAAGAATACATAAATAAAAATAAATAAAATTGAAAAAAACTTGAATCCACAGCTACCACCCTAGCCTAGCCGTGCTAGTCATGCACCTGCTATAACAGTCCCCACTTCCACCCAAGCTCTTCACTGGCTCTTACACACAGCAGCCAGAGTGGCCCTCCACAACGCAAGTCAGACCAAGTTGTCAGCTGCTTAAAGCCATCTGGGGACTTCTTATCTCAGACTGTAGCCGAAACCCTTATGGCCAGCCGGGCTCTCTGTTGCCTGGCCCCTACTAGCTCTCTGACGTCTGCGTCCTCCAAACCCCCACTGCTAACTACCCTCCAGCCAGACTGGCCTCCTTGCCGGTCTCACAAAGGCCCACCACATTCCACTCAGGGACTCAGGGCTTTGCACTTGGGGCTACCCCTGAGCTTCCTCTTTCTCCCCACAGGTCTCCACATAGCTTTCTCCCTCATTTTCTTGGGGTCTCTTCAATGACACCAAACAGAGAGGCTTCCTTCGCATCCCCCGCATAAAGCAGCCACCTCCCCTTCCTGGTGGCTCAGGCGGCAAAGCGTCTGCCTGCAGTGCGGGAGACCTGGGTTCGATTCCTGGGCCGGGAAGATCCCCTGGAGAAGGGAATGGCTACCCATTCCAGTATTCTTGCCTGGAAAATTCTATGGACAGAGAAGCCTTGTGGGCTGTAGTCCGTGGGGTCACAAGGAGTCTGACTGAGCAGCTAGCACAACAACAGAATTCCATCCCATTCACTTGGCTTTATCTCTCCTGGAGCGCACAGATCTCTTGAGGTCACACACATTGATCTGTTTATGGCCAGTCCACACTACACTACTCACAATCCCCATAAGTACAGGGACTGTAACTGTTCCAGTCACCCCTGCATCCCAGTGCTGAGAAGAGAGCCATCTCAGAGAAGAGGTGGTGCATATATACAATGGAATATTACTCAGCCATTAAAAAGAATGAAATAAGGCCATTTGCAGCAACATGGATGAACGTAGAGAGTGTCACACTGAGGGAAGTAAGTCAGACGGAGAAGGAGAAATATCATGACATCCCTTTTATGTGGAATCTAAAATGATACAAACGAGCTGACTTAAAAAACACAAAAAGACTAACAGACTTAGAAAACAAACTCACAGTTGCTGGGGGGAAGGGATAGTTAAGGACTTTTGGAAGGTCATATACACACTGCTATATTTAAAACGAATAACCAACAGAAACCTTTGTATACCACGTGGAGCTCTGCTCAGTGTTATGTGCCAGCCTGCACGGGAGGCGGGTTTGAGGGAGAATGGACAACGTGCGTATGCATGGCTGAGTCCCTTTGTTGTTCACCTGAAACTATCACAGCATCGTTAATCAGCTATACCCCAATACAAAATGGTTTCGGTGTTAAAAAAAAAGAATAAAAATTTAAAAAAAGAAAAAGAAGAGCCATCCCATAGTAGGCTTCTAGCAGATGTTTGCTGAATTAGAGGACAAAGGAAGAATGAGAGGGGAGCCCACTGAGACAGAGACAGAGACAGGGCTGAGCCTCTGTTAGGGGAAATACGCATTTCTCTGCTGCCCAGATCTTGAGGTTGGTCACCAGTGGGGATGTGCCATGACCACCCCATCCAGGCTGACTTCTGCTCATGTCTCCTTCCAGGTCTTGGCTCCCCCAGGCTGTGTGAGGCTTCTGCTATGACTGCAGTCTCTTGTCGGAGCCAGGACTGCCGCTCGCCGCCCCGGCCAAGCCAGGTCCCCGCTCTGCGCCAGCTGTCCCCGGCACCCGTGTCAGCATGGGCAGTGTCAGCAGCCTCATCTCCGGCCACGGCTTCCACAGCAAGCACTGCCGGGCCTCGCAGTATAAGCTGCGCAAGTCTTCCCACCTCAAGAAGCTCAACCGCTATTCAGACGGGCTGCTGAGGTTTGGCTTCTCCCAGGACTCGGGGCATGGCAAGTCCAGCTCCAAAATGGGCAAAAGTGAAGACTTCTTCTACATCAAGGTCAGCCAGAAGGCCCGGGGCTCCCACCGCCCTGATTACACGGCACTGTCCAGTGGGGACCTAGGGGGCCAGGCAGGGGTGGACTTCGACCCGTCCACCCCACCGAAGCTCATGCCTTTCTCCAATCAGCTGGAGATGGTAAGTGGACAGGTCTCTGGTGTGGGTGGCTGGGTTGGAAAGGCAGGAAAGAGGCCTGGGGCTGAGAGCGGTGGTGGTGAAGGTCTTAAATGCTTACATCACTGAGAACGCTTACATTACTGAGTGATGCAGAGAGGGCAGGAGTACTCAGCCACACCCGAGAGCAAGATTGGACAAAGGAATAAACACATTGATCAGTCTCATAATGCAAAAGTCCTGGGTGAGCTTTTAGCACAGAGCAATCAGAGAATGCAAGCCTTTCTGAACTCTGCTGGACTGTAAGTCAGGATAGCCAAGGCAGGACCAAGAGCAGCATTTTCAAGTGCATGGGAATGGGGAGGGGCTCGCTTACCATCTGGAAAAGCAGGTGGAAAGCCCACCTGCAGAGATCTGGCAGACTCTCTTGTTAGGACTCACGGAGGTGGGCTTTCTCCTCTTCCACTGCTCTGGTGGGACAGCAACTCTCACTCCAACCAGCCCCAAAGCATCTTTGGTGGGATAAGAGCTGTGAGTTTTTTAGTTAGTTTTTCGCCATGCTGTGTGGCTTGCAGATCTTACTTCCCTGACCAGGAATGGAACTCGAACCCCCTGAAGTGGATGCATGGAGTCTTAACTACTGGACCACCAGGGAAGTCCTTTGGGTTTGTTATCATCACCAATCTAGCAAGGATGAGGGCAGAGAGTCCCAGGAGCTCAGAAATGCAGCCCTCATCCCACTTTAAGTTCTCATGTGTCCTGCCAGTCGATGCTAGAAGCATTGTTCCTATCAGCACCCTGGCCTCACCTGGGAGGATGAATCTATGCATTGATATGCTAGGAAACGGCCCACATGTTGGATAGAGTTTTAAGCTTTTCAAAGTAAAGAGCTTGTAAACTTTGAAGTCCTCTAAGAATGAAAATGATGGCTTTAGGGAAAAGATTGTTATTTCAAGCGGTTCTCCCAACCATTGGGGGAGGCCACGGCCAGAGTTCCAGCTGCTGGCCAACTGGAAGCAATGGGGAAGAAGCAGGGATGAACTTCCCTGAGGACTGTGTGTCCAGCATCCTTACCTGCAGCACATGGAGCCCCAGAACCCTGGCCTGGGGTCTCAGCCAGTGAGCCTAGAAGGGCTGTCATCTCGGAGAAACTGGTGACAGACTGGTTGGTAGCTCACAAAACAAAGGGCCTGATGATCTTTACGGATAGGCATGGAGGAATTCCTCCTCCTTGAGGGAGATTCACCACCTTTGGCCCCTTCAGAGTAACAGGTGAGGTCACCTGCCGCCCGAGACCAGGAAGGTGCCATGTAGCTGGCATACACACCTGACTCAGGGCTCAACGCAGGGAGACACAGGGTAAGTATGGCTGTTTTCCTTCCCAGGCTTCTGAGAAGGGTGCCGTGAGACCCACGGCCTTCAAGCCAGTGCTGCCACGGTCAGGCGCCATCCTCCACTCATCCCCTGAGAGCACTGGCCACCAGCTGCATCCCGTGCCTCTGGACAAGCCCAAGGAGCAGGAGCTGAAGCCCAGCCTGTGCTCTGGGGCACTGTCCGACTCCGGCCGGAACTCCATGTCCAGTCTGCCCACGCACAGCACCAGCAGCAGCTACCAGCTGGACCCGCTGGTCACCCCGGTGGGGCCCGCCAGCCGGTTTGGGGGCTCAGCCCACAACATCACACAGGGCGTTGTCCTCCAGGACAGCAACATGATGAGCCTGAAGGCCCTGTCTTTCTCTGACGGGGGCAGCAAGCTGGCCCACGCAAGCAAGGACAAGGGCTCCGTGCGCTCCCCCATCTCCACGGCCCAGTGCACCATCCAGGAGCTGGAGAAACAGCTGCTGGGGAGGGCGGGCGAGCTGCAGAGGCTGCACCGCAGCCTCGAGGAGAAGGAGCCGGCCGCCAGCCAGCCTCACGAGGAGCGGCCGCGGCGCGGCAAGGACGAGCTGGAGGGGCTGGAGGCCAAGGGCAAGCTGAAGGTGGCCGCGCAGAAGAGCCAGCGCGCCCAGCAGGTCCTGCATCTCCAGGTGCTCCAGCTGCAGCAGGAGAAACGGCAGCTCCGGCAGGAGCTCGAGAGCCTCATGAAGGAGCAGGATCTGCTGGAGACCAAACTCAGGTCTTACGAAAAGGAGAAGACCAGCTTTGCCCCCGCACTGGAGGAGACGCAGTGGGAGGTGAGGATGAGGGCGTGGGCAGGGGGTGGGCAGGGGTTCAGTGCCTGCATTCCCCACCACTTTCTCCAGGTCTCCTCCAGGCTCTAGGCAACAGGGAGAAGTGTGACGTCGCTCAGTCATGTCCAACTCTTTGCAGTCCCACCGACTGTAGCCCGCCAGGCTTCTCTGTCCGTGGGGATTCTCCAGGCAAGAAGACTGGAGCATGTTGCAATGCTCTCCTCCAGGGGATCTTCACAACCCAGGGATCGAAACCAGGCCTCCTGCATTGCAGGCAGATTCTTTACCATCTGAGCCACCAGGGAAACCCAACAATACTGGAGTGGGTAGCCTATCCTTTCTCCAGGGAATCTTCCCAACCGAGGAATTGAACTGGGGTCTCCTGCATTGCAGGCAGATTCTTCACCAGCTGAGCTACCGTAGCAACAAGGGTGGGAACACAATTGCCCTGGAAAACTGGGCTGGACTGCTGGCCTCCTGACCCAAAGAAAGGGCTCCCCAGGAAACCATGCTGGAGATTTTCTTAGTCTGGGCTTCTTCATCTCCCCAACCCCATGCCTCACGGCCAGAACTGAATTTACTAATTGAGTCATTGGCTGAGAAATGAACAAGAGAACCAAGTCCCAGCCAGGCTGTGAGGGCCACCTCAGTGCATCTGCTCACAGAGGCTCTGCAGGACAGCAAATCATCCCTGGTTCATGATGGTCCCAAAGGCACAAGAGACCATAGCACCATTTGTGATGTTTTTTCTTCATCTTTTTGTTGTTGTTGTTTTCTTTATGGAAGGCTCTGTACTCTGAAAACGTCACAGTTCCAAAGCTACGGGATTTTTTTTTTTTTACTTTTTGGCTACAACATGGCATGTGGGGTCTTAGTTCCCTGACCAAGGATCAAACCCAAGCTCCCTGCGTTGGGAGCATGGAGTCTCAACCAGTGGACCACCAGGGAAGTCCCTCGTCTGTGACTTTTGAGGAAAGGGACCCCACCACTGGGGGGAGTGGTCACAACTGTGCAGGTCTCAGGGACAGAGTTGGCCAGTCCTCACAGAAGTGCAAGTGGAGCTTCTGTCTGGTGGGCTGAGATGGAAGAAGAGAGCAGGAAGAAAGAGGGCTCACATACACACGCACATCCTCAGGCACTCCTGGAAATATGGTGGCTGCACCTGGTCTCACTGGAGAACAGCCTAAGCCCCACATCTTGCTCACTGTTCTCACCTGATGGGCCTCTAAAGGTGGTGCAGGGACCAGAAGAGGCTCATGCATGGCATTCACCACCCCAGAGACTCCTGCCCTGGGAAGGGGCTGAGGGCTCACTGGGTCTGGTTAGACCAGCATCACCCCTAGGTGGGGGTGACACGCCATCAGCCACACAGCCATCTGTCTGAACTGATCTCCTGTACTGATTCTGGAAATTAGAGCGACAGATGTTATCAAAGGGAGAGGAGAAAGATCCTTTCTGAGGAAGTGATGGGCAGAGGCACTAGAGAGGTGGGCAGGGAGTCTCACTTTCTGTCTGCCAGGTCTCCCAAAGAGGGAGGGACCTCAGCCATGGGACCAGTGCTTTTCTTCTTCTCATCACTGTTGGTTCAGGAGACCCTCTCCCGGCCACGGTTTCTCAGCCAGGACTTGGGAACACTTTGGCCCATCTCAGAACATAAGCCAGCGCTAGCATTGTGCATCCATCCTTGCTTGTCTAATCCAGAACTAAGCTGGACATGGCTGTGACCTCACTCCCAGGGTGTCCAGAGTATTAGTAAAACAATAAATGAAGTAAATTTTCACAAAAACATAGACATTATTACAAACATATTTATAACAATAATAATTCATAGAGTGTTTATTAATGCCAGGCCCCAGGTCCTTTCATTTAACCTTTACAACAGCCCAATGAAACTCAATTTAGAGTTAAGGACACTGAAGCATGGAGAACAATTATAACAGCAAAGAGCTCGTTAGATGACTTGCCAAAGCCACCACAGAGCAGGCATCAGAGCCAGGATCTGATCCTGAATTAGGTCCCAGAGTTCAGAGTTTCATGTTCATAACGGTACTGTGCTAATGGATGCAGAATTGGCCGGGTCACTCTGGTAGAGCCAGGATTCAAAGCGAGGCCCCGGCCTCAGCCACGGCTCTGCTGACCCCTCCATGACACAAATCCAGGCTCACCCTCGGAAGTCTGTTTCAGCCCCAGCCAACCATGGTAGTGGGGCTGTGCACACTTCGGAGGTGGTGCATGAGAGCAAGGGGTGGTTCTACCTCAAGAAAAAAAGAGGAAATATTAAAACTTCCAGTCTTGCTCAAAGAATCTATTCTGTGGAGGCCCAGGCCCTGGCCTTCACTCTAGCCATCTTCCCTGCAGGCCAGCAGAAAATGCTCTTGTAACACAGCCAGACAGACTGGCCTTGGACACATGACCCCCAGTGGCCTGGACTCCATAGACACATGTGTCTGAGTCAGTGTCATTGGTATCATTAGTTTTGTTTGCTGCTCTTAGGCAACTTTTGATGGAGATTGAAGTAGAAATGGTGGAGGGCACTGGGGAGAACAGTGGCTCATCATTTGGCAGATACCAGCTGGGCACTGTTTCTGAGCCCAGTTGGTTGCTGGGGTGCAGTCACGATTGTGTGAATATTGTCTTTATCCCAAGAGGAAGGAGAACAGAGTATGTGCAGGGGTGAGGCCAGAGGGTAAGAGAGTATACACAGATGATAGAAATTAGGCAGACCCAAAATTGACATCATTGCTGTTAATGTAGATAGTGGAGCTACCAGCTGTGGGCAGATTAAACCACTGGCCCTTAATTTATACATAACTATAAGTCTGGGTGGACTTCCCCAGTGGTTAAAAAAAAAAAAAAAAAGAAAGAAAATCTGCCTGCCAAAGTAGTAGACGTAAGAGACACAGATTCGATCCCTGGGTGGGGAAGATTCCCCTGGAGAAGGAAATGGCACTGCAGCATTCCTGCCTGGAGAATCCCATGGACAGAGGAGCCTGGTGGGCTACAAAAACAGTTCATGAGGTCCCAAAGCCACGACTTAGCGACTAAACACCAGGGACATGGGTTTGGGTATGGACTGAGATTTAGGCTCTGAATTGGGGGTGAGGTAGGCTTGTGGGCAGACCCAGCCAGATTCAGAATGAAAGGAGCCTCATAGAGGGGCTTGGCCTTCGTGGGTCCCCCAGACCACCATGCTGGGACTCCTTCCGGGCACCCTGAAGGGACTGGGTGGGCCGCGCTGGGTGGCTTTCAGGAGCTTAGTTCCCCGATCAGGGGTGGAAACCGCATCATCGGCAGTGAAAACCACGAGTCCCAATCACTGGATGGCGTGGGATTAAGTGCTTTTAAGCAGTGAGGTGTGACCCCTGCCCACTACGTGCGGACTCTCACCCCCTGGCTCTCTCTTGTCCCTGCCCTGCCCTGCCCCATGGCAGGTGTGCCAGAAGTCCGGCGAGATCTCCCTCCTGAAGCAGCAGCTGAAGGAGTCCCAGACGGAGATCAACGCCAAGGCCAGCGAGATCCTCAACCTGAAGGCTCAGCTGAAGGACACGCGGGGCCGGCTGGAGGGTTTGGAGCTGAAGACGCAGGACTTGGAGAGCGCGCTGCGCACCAAGGGCCTGGAGCTGGAGGTGTGCGAGAACGAACTGCAGCGCAAGAAGAACGAGGCCGAGCTGCTGCGGGAGAAGGTGAACCTGCTGGAGCAGGAGCTGCTGGAGCTGCGGGCCCAGGCCGCCCTGCAGCGGAGCCGGGACGCGGCCGCCCTGGGTCCCGCCCCCGCGGACGACGTGCCCGCCCTGCAGCGCGAGCTGGAGCGGCTGCGCGCAGAACTCCAGGAGGAACGGCAGGGGCACGACCAGATGTCCTCCGGCTTCCAGCACGAGCGGCTGGTGTGGAAGGAGGAGAAGGAGAAAGTGATCCAGTACCAGAAGCAGCTGCAGCAGAGCTACCTGGCCATGTACCAGCGGAACCAGCGCCTGGAGAAGGCGCTGCAGCAGCTGGCCCGCGGGGACGGGGCGGGGGAGCCCTTTGAGATCGACCTGGAAGGGGCTGACATCCCCTACGAGGACATCATCGCCACCGAGATCTGAGGGGCCTCCTGGGAGAGGGCTCGGGACCCGGCATTGGGAGGCAGGTGCTGAGTCGTCAGTGGGGGCTCCCGTGCCCTGCTCCCCCTGCTCAGGCCTCAGAGGAAAGCAGCACAGACTTCGGGGCGGGGAGACTGGTTTGGGGGTGGGGGTGGGGGGACGCTTGCGGCTACAGGGCCTCTCCTGGCCTTTCCCAAGATCCAGCGCTTAGCAACCCTGCAGCCGGCCAGACCTCCAGCTTTGCCAAGAGAGGAGTCCTGGGATCATCAAGATTTGGTTAAGGGCTTCCTAAAACTTGGTCTTTGTTCAAAATGCTTAGAGATTTTGAACGCTCTAAGCATTTAGAGGGTTCCCTAAATGCTGTCCCAGAGAGGGTGGTGACTGATGGAAGCTCCCTTCCACCTCTTTTCCTACAACTTTTCTCGCCCCCCCCATCCCCGCTCCCGACACACTGGGATGCCCCTTGGGAACAGAACACAAGCATTTATGACCAGGAGCTTTGGAATCTGACCTGGTCATACCTGAGCTATTTCCCCCGGCCCCGGAGGGACAGGGGTTGGAGTGGGATGTGGAGAACCTGGCCGAACAGCAATCAGAGCTTCCCGACACTGTTGGTCTCAGAAAGGAGGGGGAAGCTGGGGCCACCCGGGGGTTGTCGAGACTCAGCCAGACCAGAGGGGGTCTGAAGGAGAAGCTAGGTGGTGACAGCCAGACCCTCTAGCCCTGCTGACTGGACGTGAGCAGCCTCTGGGTGACTGGTGGCCTTTAATCTCTTCTTAAAGCCATAGCCCCAAGGTCCTGGGGTAGGTGCTGAGGAGGAAAGATTGAGGGCTCAGTGATGCAGGGAGTGTGTGACTCCAAGCTGTCCCCAGGGGAGCCCCCAGATCTTTTCATCATGAGACCAGAGACAGGGATTTCTCCTCCTGTTCAAGTTGCTCAGCAGTTACCCTGTATTGGTTTTCATTCCTAAGAACCAAGTCTTTGCTTGAACTTAGATTAACCTGTGTCCACTGAGATGGCACAGGGTCAGCTGGGCTCGGCCTTCCCCCTTCACCTTCAGCTCCATCCTGTTGCCAGTCTTGTCCCTTGTCACCTACAGGGCCAAGTGCAGACAGAGCCTTTACAGGTCGGGGGGGGAGCCCCAAACTGCCAGTGTCCAAAGACAGTAAGAGGCTCAAACACAGCCTCTGAACGACCCTGGGCCCCCCGGCTGCCCTTCCCCCCACCACCACTTGCATTAGCCCCACATGAGCCCTGTAGTCACGGACCCTTGCAGAAGCCTGCAGAACGCTGGCCTTCCCTTTCAAAGATGTGTGAAGAAAAGATTGTTTCTCAGTTGCTTGGTTCAGGGAATTTTCTTCTTCTTTTTCCTTTCTTGTCTTTTCAGACACAAGCCAGATCTCACAGGCAGCCAGGCTGTTCCATGTTCTATTTTTGCCTCGAGCTGCAGCTGCTGTTCCTGGGACAGCCAGCCCCGGCTGGATTCCTGGGCTCACGCCCGCATGCTGAGGGGGGTTCACCAAACGTCTGAGTACGCAGCAGTCCCAGGCCATTGCTCCCCAGTTCTGTCCCCGACTGCAGACCCCTCCAGGCCCCAGGTGGTAGTGGGGAGCTGCTTCTCCTCCAGCCCCCCATCCTGCCAGGGTCCCTCCGTGAGCCTAGACTGAGAGCAGGGCCGCCTTCCCGAATACTGGGTCTGCCTTCCATTCCCCAAGTTAGGCTGTGCTTGTCCTGCCTTCATGTGACAGAGGAGTCTTTCTGGAATTTCAAGCCATTACTCTTAGTCATAGGCTAGACTTAAGCCCGGAATCCACAGGCCCAGAGCCCCCTCCCCTCCACAGGACACAGGCAGATCACTCCCGTTCCCCAGGTCAAAGACTTCCCGCCCCTTGTCTCTTGGTTGCTCCATCTCCACCAGCCTATGCCTTGTCTGAGTCCTTTCCTCCCAGAGACTGTCCTGCCAGATAGAAAAAGAGGCTGCTGCCCTCTCCTCAGGCTGGAGACCTCCCCTCCCAAAGGGCAGCCAAAAGCCCACTGCTCTGCCCTTAAGATTAAGCTGCAAAGAGGTGGGGGCTAAGCCCCAGGGGCGGGAACTCAGGGGTACAGCAGCTCCACCGCAGTGTGACAGTGCCCTGCACCCCATCCGCACCTCTGCCCCAGGCCAACCCATGGAGCGCTCCCTGGGTTGCCGCCAGCCAGAGGCTCCAGGGCAGCCCAGCTGCCCCCGAATCCAAGTGTCCTGTAACACGGCGACCTCGCGCGGTGTGGTTTCCCCTCCCTTCCCTGTGCTAAAACCTCCGTGCTATTCCTGGACCTTGCCAAACCCAGCCTCTCTCCGGAAGGAGCCTCTGAGCAGCAGAGGCTGAGCAGGACTGGAGAAGTCGGCCACGCAAGCCTCGGAACAGGCGGCCTGGACCGGGGCCAGCGGGAGCTCGCCGCCCCTTCCCCGGAGCGCGGCTGCTGGCACGCATGCTCGCTGGATCAGAGCCGCGGCTCTGCTACCCAAAGGATGGTGAAGCTCTGCCGGGAACAAGGAGTCAGCCACGCCGAGGGGGGCTCTGCCTCTGGGCTTTGGAGCGACCAGACTCTCATGTGGCGCCCACCCTGGATTTATCCTCTGGTCTCTGCGTTCCGGTTAACCCCTGCTGGGCACAGTCGGTCCCCATGAGCACCGAGTTCCATGGGGACTGCGTTGGGGTGGGGTTGGGGGGCACCTCTCCCCTGAGAAGCACCCGCCAAGCCTCTGCCCCTGCTCGCCTCCCGGCCCAGCCTGGGCCACTTCTTAGGAGAGAGAGATCTTAGGGGTAAGGCACGCTGGGCGGTCGGAGCCGCAACTGTCCCTGCCAGGAGGGCACGCACCTATGTGCGCACCTGTGTGCTTTCATGCTCTGCCTTCCTCATCTATCTGTGGTCCCCCTTGCGCTTCCTCTTCAGGCAAAGCGCGAACCCCAGCCCAGGCTTACTATGGATTGACTGGCATTTGGAAGACTATGTACAGAGTCATTTTTCTCTTGGTTGTGTCTTGTTTGGTTTGCTCTGCTTTTGACAGCTTTATTTTTGATGCCCCCTTTTGGCCATGTAAACTATTTCTGGGAATTTTATGTTTTTATTTATGAATAAAGAATGCCATTTCTCATGCCCTCCCAAGCTACCCTCCTTCCCCTGGATGTGGCATGGCAGCTCCCTGGAGCTCGCGCATTTGGAGTAAGAAAGGTGATGTCCCTTCCCACCAGTGGGGGAGGGAGGGATGCCGGGGCGGGGCGGGGTGGTGGTGGGGGGGGGGTTAGGGACAGCTTTGATAGCGGCTGTATTGGCTGGTAGGAAAGCAGGGGCATTGGCATCAGGTAGATCTTCAGCTGGTCCCTGCCCCTCACCAAACCTGTGACCTTATCTGTGTGACCAGGTCTTGGGGAGAACCTGAGGAGGTGGAAAGGAAACCAAGGGCTGTGGTCCCCTACAAAGACAGAGGGTTTTCCGAAAGAGAGCCCCCTTCCCTCAGCCCCAGCCTCAGACCTCCCTGCCTCTTCCCTCCAGCCGCTCACCTCGCCAGCCAGCTCCTTGGCCTATTACATACGGCCTCATTGGCTGGAGACCAGGGTGGCTATTGTCGTCACCACCCCCGGGCCTCCCAGCTAGGAAGGTGCAGTCACCACAGTGGCCATCTGTCCAGCCTTCTCTGTGCCAGCCTGCCTTGTTCACCCTGACAAGCAATCCCTACTGTTCTGGGGCCCAGATTTGAAACTCAAAGAGCTTTTCTACTCAGGTGGCAGGAGACAGAAGGGACTTGCAAAGAGGGAATTACAAATACGAGGCAGCCTGTGGAGCCCCTGCTGGGTAGATGTCAGTGCCTCTGGGTGGGAAAGATCAGGGTCTCCGGGAAGGTGATGGGCAGGGGTGGGACATTAGAGGAGTGGAGAGGAGAGGGAAGACAAGCAATGCAGCCCAGGGCGGCCTTCCCATAGCTGTGGTCTCCCTGCCTGTCTGCACAGGTGACAGGCCAGCGAGGCAGATGTGGATGTGCAGGGGCCAGCGGGGGCAGCGGTCACACCCTCCCAAGCAAGCTACCCTCCTTTCCCTGTCTGTGTCATGGCAGCTCCCTGGAGCTCCTGCATTTGAAGTAAGAAAGGTGATGTCCCTTCCCACCAGTGTGGGGGTGGGTTGTGGGGGGTGAGCTATCAAAGTGCAAAGAAGGTCAGGCAGCTGGCCAAGCCTGGACAGGAGCCCACGTCTAAATCCAGAACCCCAGTATTGGGGCAAAGATGCCATGTCAGGCCTGGGTGGCCCTTCCCCTTCTCCTGGACCTGGCCCAAGGCTGGCAGGCCACTGCATTGGTGACGCCCATGGGAATATGCCCCCACTGATGACCCTGTGTAGCCCTCTCCCCAGGCAGACCCTAGGACTCACTTAAGTTAATCCAAGTCAGCAGAAGTGATGCTCCACCAGTTCCAGCGTAGCTTGGCAGCTTCCACTTTTATGTATATTCTTGGGGCCCACAAGCTGCCATATGAGAAACCCTTCAAGTCTGCTGGGAGACCCCCTGGAGCAAGAGAGGTCCTGTTGTCCTGCGAGTGACCAGGATCCAGCTAACCCTCATGAAGCAGAGGCTCACTTCCCCCATTCAGACCTTCTAGAATCTTTACCAGAGCACATGGAATGGTGCTGTTTTTAAGCCTCTTAGTAAAACCCGGGGTGATTTACCATGTGGTGCAGAAAAGAGTGGGCTTCCTTAGTGGTTCAGACGGTAAAGAATCCACCTGCAATACAGGAGATGTAGCTTCGATCCTTGGGTTGGGAAGATCCCCTGGAGGAGGGCATGGCTACCCACTCCAGTAGTCTTGCCTGGGAAATCCCATGGAGAGAGGACCCTGGCGGTCTACAGTCCATGGAGTCGCAAAGAGTAGGACACGACTAAGACAATAACACTTTCACTTCACAGAAAAGGATAACCCAAACACCTTGTGGCCATCCCCTTACTTACCAGCCCAACACACCTCTTTCCGTCCATAGGGCTTATGTGCGCGCTCAGTCGTGTCTGAGTCCGCCACCCTTTGGACTGTAGCCTGCCAGCCTCCTTTGTCCATGGGATTTTCCAGGCAAGAATACTGGAGTGAGTTGCCATACCCTCCTACAAGAGATCTTCCCAACCCAGGAATTGAACCTGCGTCTCCGGCATTTCCTATACATACTGCAGGTCGATTCTTTACCACTGAGCCATCTGGGAAACCCAAAGGGCTAACAGAAAAGCCGGGTATCTGGACAGGGACAGGGCTGTGGGAAACCGCCTCAGCTGCAGGAAAGGCAGCCAAGTGAGTGGTGGAGGGCAAAGGCTTTCCGCCACCCCACTTGCTCTGGAGTGCTGTCAAGGCTGTAAGCCTTCCCTGAGCACCACCTCCCCCCACACACACCTCAAACCTCCTTATTATTTTAGGGAAAAAATAGAACAAAAGGGGAACGATATATATAGCTTCTCAGAGTTTCTCACAGAGCCATAGACAGACTGTGTGCTGTGGCCATCAGGAGGGAGGCAGACCAGCGATGGTCCTGGCAGCCCCCGCAGCAGGTGCTTTCTGAGTTATATGAGGAAGGTCACGCTGCCCTAAATTTCTTCCCGGCCCAGGCTTCTCGAGGCCTGAAATACCAGCGTTGCGTTTATCCACGTGTGCACACGCGTATCCGCTGTGCTGTGCCGTGCTCAGTTGCTTGTCGTGTCCAGCTCTTTGTGACCCCATGGACTGTAGCCCGCTAGGCTCCTCTGTCCACAGGATTCTCCGGGCAAGAATACTGGAGTGGGTTGCCATGCCCTCCTCTGGGGGATCTTCCAGACCCAGGGATCGAACCCGCTCCTACATTATGGCTCCTACATTGGCAGGTAGGTTCTTTACCACTAGCGCCACCTGAGAAGCCTGCATGCCTGGATCTATTCAACACAAATTGACCGAACTCCAACTCTATGCCCAGCCCTGTTCTAAAGGCCAGGAATTATACAGCCGCAAACGAACTTTGTCAAGGTTCTTTCTCCTGATGGAGTTCACACTCTGGAACTAAACGAATAAATCAAGTGATTTTCCTGAGAAATGAGATGAAGGAAGTAAATAGGATGATTGAGCCAGTGGGAGCCAGGTGGTACTGTGTCTAGAAGGGTGGGGGGAATAGGTTCAGGAAAAGAAGATCAGAAAACCAAATTATCCCCTCATTTCAACATTTGGGGAGACTGTGCCAACCATCGTCCTTTCATAACGTGGACTCCTCTTCACCCCGATTTCTCTCCCTTGGAAACTTCACCTTCTCACAGGGTCTCAGCAGACCTTTTCCTGGTAGGTGGCTCACCATGCTCCCATAACCTTAGCATTCACTTGTTACTGGCCCAAAACATCCTCAGTCCTGAGGAACCTTGAACCTCCCTTTCCTCTCACTAAAAAACAATTCCACCCAGCATGTCCCATGAAGACCCTTGAGAAGTCTGAAGCATTAAATGCTGTTCTTCCACATGTAAAAGTTAAAAATCAAATTTTGTGAAATAGCACAATCCTTACATAAATGCTAAAAGAGCATCTTTCCATGTAATCTGACAGAGAAATGTTCAATTTTAACTAATTTAGCCATTTTAATTAACTCAGCCATCTCTCTCTCTAGATATTTATGTATTTTTTGGTCTGTTTGTTTTGGTGGGAGGGGTCTGCCTTACTGGGTGTGCAAGCAAAAGTTTATCAGCCTATTGTATAATCCAAACTGCTTTCCCACAATGTCCCTATTCTATCAATATATCCTTGCAGGTTGGAGCCATCATTGATCCCCCCCCACCACCTTTCCATCATCTTGTCTATCCAGTCAGATCCCACATCCTCTAGAGCCTCTTCTTTAAAGCCTTCCTCCTGTCCTCTTTTCTTCCAACATCTACTGACCCAGCTGAGGTCATCCAAATAACCAATCCAAATAATAATCCAAATAAGTTCCAACCACCTCACTTTTACAAATGTGCAAAAGAGAGGCCAGCCAGACAGGGGAGAGGACTTTCTCAAGGTCACACAGCTAGTGAATTACAGAGCTTGGTCACCTTGATGACTCTCAGATCCCCACTGGTTTCTCTCCCAACTCTGGTCCATTAAATCCATTGACACACAACACTCAGATTTTTACGTCCAGTGCTGCTCCCACTAGGTTCCCCACTTGCTCAGAACCTTCAGGGGCTCCCCTCAAACCTCAGAATAAAGTTGAGTCCCCTTAGCTGGCTTTAAGTCTCTGCCTTTTATGGTTCCAACATCTATCTCAGCAAACCTGACTCTAACCACAGGTCAAAGCACAGAACCCTAAACCATCACAACCACCATCAACATAAGCTCAACAAACACAAACACATTTCTTGTCAGACACAATCTTTATGAAAAGTAAAAAACCCACTCTGGGACTTCCCTGGTGGTCCAGTGGGTTGAGAATCTGCCTGCCAACACAGGGAACATGGGTTTGATGCCTGGTCTGGGAACTAAGATCCCATGTGCCTTGGGGGACACGGGTTTCATGCCTGGTCTGGGAACTAAGATCCCATGTGCCTCGGGGCAACTAGCAAGCCCACATGCCACAACTACTGAGCCCCATGTGTCCTAGAGCCCGAGTTCCCCAACAAGGAAACCACTGCAACTTGAAGCCTGTGCACCACAATTAGACAGTTGGCCCTGCTCACTGCAACTAGACAGAGTCCATGCAGCAACAAAAGATGAGCACAGTGATAAATAAAACACACTTTACTGCCCAGTCCTGTGTTCCACCCTGAGACCCAGCCAAGGAGCCTCAATGGGAGGCAGCATGGCCAGGGTCAAATGCAGACTCAGAGCTAGCTGAGTTCACCTCCAGCCCCTGATGCTGCTGAGCTGTGTGATGTTGGCTAAGTGACTTAACCTCCTTGTGCTTTGGAGGGTGGTTTTGACAATTCAGTGAGATGATGTCCAATAAAAGTTAGCTTGAGCATTGCTATTATTTTTATACTGCTATCATATTTTATTGTTACCATAAGTATTGTATGCTTGTGTGTGCATTCAAAGTCATTTCAGTCATATTTGACTCTGTGCAATCCTATGGACTGTAGCCCACCAGGCCCCTCTGTCCATGGGATTCTCCAGGCGAGAATATTGGAGTGGATAGTCTTTTCCTTCTCCAGGGGATCTACCCAACCCAGGGATCAAACCCTCATCTCATCTCCTGGATTGGCAGGCGGGTTCTTTACTACTGGCGCCACCTGGGAAGCCCACCATAATTATTAATATTTGTTAATATAATGTCACTGCTTCACGCTGTGATAAACTGCAGTGTTGGCCCAGGCTCCTGCAGCCCCAGCAAAGCTCCCTGCCTTGGAGAACAGCTGACTTTACTCTGGTCAACTGTCTCCCTACCACCCCCCAGCATTGTCTCCCCAGCTCTAAACTCCAGAAGGCTGACGTGTGGGGAAGAAGCTCCTGGGACAGGGGGTACAGCTGAGGGAAGAAAGGAACAAAGAAGGATTTGCTGGGGTGGTGGTGGGGGGGGGCGGTTGGAGGTGATGATGGGGGAGAGGTGATGATGGAGCAGGCCTGAGCCCCAGCCAGACTGTGACAATGGCCAAACCCCATGCCTGGAGGGAGCCTGTTAGACGGCAGTTCACCACCTTCCCCAGTGCAGTCCCTCTTCTGTCACAGCCCCTCCCCTCTCCACCCTGCACACACTGATGCACATGTGACCCCATGCACACACAGTCACTGTCGTGTTCTCCCTTCCACTCACCCCTTGCCCCCAGTCCCACTGCCTTAATTATGTATGGCTAATTGAGCAGTAAGTAGGCTCACGACAGCTTTTGTAACCAGTGACAGGTGAGGCAAATTAAATTCCTTGCACCAAAAATAACAGGACAATTTGCCTGCCAGCATCCATCACACGGTGACACCCTCCTGGGCTGTGGGGCCAAGTGCAAGGCAGTACATAGCCGGAGGGTTCAAGGCCCAGGCTTCCCTTGGCTTGATTGGTTCTCCAGGCTGAACGATGGGAACGACGGAGCAGGCAGATGGTGGGGTGAGGACCAGTGGGTGCCGTCCACTCCCGGAAGGGAGTTATCAGCTCCTGGGCCGGGGCTGGATGACTTCCCAAATCCACATGAGGTTTGCCCTCACTGGAGGCTGCATTTTATACATGAAGAAGCTGGGTTTGGGCTTCCCACGTGGCACAGTGGTAAAGAATTTGCCTGCCAATGCAGGAGTCATAGGAGACACCGGTTCAATCCCTGGGTTGGGAAGATCCCCTGGAGAAGGAAATGCAACCCACTACAGTATTCTTGCCTGGAGAATCCCATGGACGGAGGAACCTGGCAGCTACAGTCCCTGGGGTTGCAGAGTTGAGTATGGCTGCGCGCACACACACAAACCTACCCCCTGCCGCATGCATGAGGCCTACCTGTGGCCACTGCCCAGTCTCTCTCTCTGGCATGAGCCTGCCTCTTCCTTTCACCCTTCTTTCCACTGGCAGGCAGATCTGGAAGTGCCACAAAAGGCTGTGTTCTGAGCTCCTCTTCCCCGTCTCCCCTCAATCAGGCTCCTTCCTTACAGAGTCCTGAAATTCCACTATTAGAAATGCCTGGCCTTAGGTTGAGCTTTCAGAAGTATCGATATCCCAGGAGAGGGACCCCAGAGGAAGTGAACTGGTTTCTGATGTATTTCCCACACTGGAGACGAGTGAGGTCATGTGAGATTGCTGGGCTTCAGGGTTGGGATTGGGGGCGGATGGGACAGTGGTTCAGCAAGGGTGGTCAGCTGCTCAAGCCTACCTTGCTTTTCTCCCCCACTCCCATCTGAGTGGGTCAGGCTCCCTTGGGGGCCACCTGACCCCCAGCCCCTGCCAATGCCTGTCTGAGCAGCACAGAGCGCGGCCATTCCTGGCCTCTGCTTTGGTCACCATCAGATGGGAGAAGGGGCTTCCCAGGTGGCGCTAGTGGTAAAGAACCCGCCTGCCAATGCAGAAGACATAAGAGACACGAATTCCATCCCTGGATCAGAAAGATCCCTTGGAGGAGGGCATGGCAACCCACTCCAGTATTCTTGCCTAGAGAATCCCATGGACAGAGGAGTGGTCCATATGGTCATAAAGAGTCGGATATGACTGAAGTGACTTAGTAAGCATGCAGATGGGAGGAGAGGGCTGCCCAGCCAGAGGTCCAGCCTGGAAGAAGCCCCAGGACCGTCCCTCCAAGCCCTTCTTGGACAGACAGGGAGCCCAAAGAAGCCAGGCCCACCCGAGAAAACAGGAAACAGGAGGAGTCTGAGCACCTGTGCCCACTGTCCAGACCCCCAGCCTCCCGTACCAGCTTCCCCTACCCAGGTCTGTGAAAGCAAATGCTTTCCAGGGAAGTTCTGGCTCTGCCTCCCAGCTGGCTGGGCCTCAAAGACTATACTTAGAAAGCGGGAGGGGCCATGGCGATGCCAACTGGCCAGCTCCAAACGAGAGCTGGCACTGCGAAGAGACACAGCTCCGGGAAAACTTAAGTAAACCAACCCCCACCCCTACCCCAAAGCCTGTCTTCCTCAATCTGGTTACCACCTCCCTCCTCCTTCTTCCTGAACCCGAGAAAAGCAGACGTTCTCAGGCTCAATTTCACACTGCCATCTTCTTTCAAATATCTTTGTTTCATAGGGAATTCTACAGATTCCCAAAGGGCATACCTCTATGAGAAAAGAGTGTACCTGTGGCTGATTCACGTTGATGTATGGCAGAAACCAACACAATATTGTAGAGCAATTACCTTCAATTAGAAATAAATAAATTTAATTATAACTGCCTTCCCAAAAAAGAATAGGAAATGCCTACTAAGCTAACTTACGTTTCTTACACACACAAATACACACACGTAGAAGGTTAAAGCAGCAAAACAATAGTGCTACTTTTCTCTGGTTTCTAGATGTTTTTAAAGTTGATGTTGAAAACTGGGACCCTACAGGCTTCCCTGGTGGTCCAGTGGTTAAGAATCCGCCCTGCAGTGCAACGGACACCAGTGTGATCCCCGGTCCAGGAAGCTCCCACGTGTGGCCCATGTGCCACAACTATAGAGTCCAAGCTATAGAGCCCAAGAGCTGCGACTACTGAAGCCTGCATGCCCACAGCCTGCGCTCTGCAACGAAAGAAGCCGACGCAATGAGAAAGCGACACACCACAATGAGAAACCCTGTGAAGAGCAGCCCCTGCTTGCCGTAACTAGAGAAAGCCCGGGCACAGAAGCAAAGACCCACTAAATAAACACATAATAAATAAACACATCTTTTAAAAAAGCGAGTTAAGACCCAAGACTTCCCTGGTGCAGAGAGCATAGGTTCGATTCCTGGTCAAGGAGCTAAGATCCTACGTGCCACACAGCCAAAAAAAAAAAAAAAAAGAAGGAAAAGAAAATTAAGGCTCAAGAGGTGTGAGTATGTAGGTGTGTGTGGCAAAGGGCGAGGTGGGGGCCACTTCTAAATGGGGAAAGGCCCTGCAGGTCTCCCCTCTCACCCCTACCCCCCATCTGGACACAGATCAACCTCCAGAAAGTGCCTTTGACACAGACGAGTTTTCCCTAGAGATCTTCCTGGAGAAGGAATCTCTCCCAGCTGCATGGCAGAGAAGGAAGCAAGCAGGATGGCATGGAGGAAGACTTTGCTGTGAGCTTCCATTAATCTTAGTGCATGGTGGAGCAGCAGGGCTGGGCCTTACTCCTGTTCCCACTCCTGGGCTGAACTGCAGCTTGGACACAAGGCAAGACTCAGAGAAGGACTCGGCTGAGCGTGGCAGCCACTGCACCCTGGACAGGACGGGGGCGAGTCTCCTCCTGTGGTGGGGGGTGGGCGGAGGGTCTGGGCCACCAGATCACCGCACCCCCTCCTCTCTCTTCCCCCGCCCCTCCTGCATCTTCACTGCCCACCCTCACCTCAGAACCCTGTGTTAGCGATAGCACTGACCGGAACAGCCCGCCCTGGTCAGGCACCACAGTGACCATCTGTGTGTTGCTTTACTACAGGAGGTCCTGGTAAGGAACACAGAACTGACAAGCCACCACCGACCAGAAGAGTTCAGGAAAGGTCGAAAGGAGATGCCAGCTTTCCTACTAACCTCCCAGAATCCTCCTCGGGTCCAGGAAAGGTCAAAAGGAGACACCACCTTTCCTACTAACCTCCCAGAATCCTCCTCGGGTCCAGGAAAGGTCAAAAGGAGACGCCACCTTTCCTACTAACCTCCCAGAATCCTCCTCGGGTCCAGGAAAGGTCAAAAGGAGACGCCACCTTTCCTACTAACCTCCCAGAATCCTCCTCGGGTTCAGGAAAGGTCAAAAGGAGACGCCACCTTTCCTACTAACCTCCCAGAATCCTCCTCGCTGGAATCCACCTTGGCTGAGAAATGTGTGCACCACCAGGAAGGACCCTGGGTCACAGTGATTAGCCAGAGGCAACCCCAAACTATCCCATCACCATAAAACCTGAGCATGTGAGCCATGTGGCAGAGCAGTTCTCCTGGGTTTGCTTACCCTCCTGCTCCCCCGCCCCGCCCGGGTGCCCCAATAAAGTCTCTTGTTTTGGCAGCATGTGTGTCTCTTTGACACTTCATTTCCAAGTGTCAGGCAAGAGGCCGCTTTTGGGTCCTAGAAGGGGTCCCCCTTTCTGCAACACCAGCACCACCAACCAAAGCTTCCTGGATGGGGGCCTCCATTCCGGCTCGTTCCACCACAGCCTCCAAGCCCTCATGGACGCCACCAAGATCAAGCCAACAGTCCTGAGCTGGCAAAGCTCAAGTGCAGGCTACACCCACAACTCTGCTCTCTCCACATCCAAAATACAACTCTGCAGATGCTCGGCAACCCTTGGTGCTGAGAACCGTGCATGTGTGCCAAGTCTTTTCAGTCATGCCTGACTCTTTGCGACCCCATGCAGTGTAGCCCACCAGGCTTCTCTGTTCATGGAATTCTCTAGGCAAGAACACTGGAATGGGTTGCCATACCCTCTTCCAGGGGATCTTCCCAACCCAGGGATAGAACCCATATCTCTTTTTGTCTCCTACATTGGCAGATGGGTTCTTTACCACTAGCGCCACCTGAGAAGCCTGCTGAGAACCATACTTGTTTACAAGTCTGGGTCAATTACAGAGAGGAAAAGGAAAACTGGTTGGATATGTCTGACATACCTGATGGTAGGCACTTTTAAGGACCCCTGGGATGTCCCAATCAAATCTCCAGGGTTTGGACTTTAGGAATGGGGAGGAATTGGGGCTGGCAAGGGAGGGGGCTTGGGGTGTGCTGTGCTGTGTGTTTTGAGGGTTGCCCAAGAGCCAGCCCACCAGTTCAGCTGTAGGTAACTTCTAGGCAGGGGCCCTTGAAACTGGCTGGGCACTTCTCTGGCCACAGCAAGTGCTCAGAGGGAGGCTCTGGATGGGGGTCAGACTTCCCACAGGTCTCAATTGCCTGCTCCTCTAAATGACGTTGTTATTGTTCAGTCACTAAGCTGGTCTGACCATGTTCAACCCTGTGAACTACAGCACACCAGTTTCCCCTCTTCTTCACTATCTCCCAGAGTTTGCTCAGATTCATGTCTGTTGGGTAGGTGATATGTCTAATCATCTCATCCTCTGTTGCCCCCTTATCCTCCTTCCCTCAATCTTTCCCAGCATTAGGGTCTTTTCCAGTGAGTTGGCTCTTGTCAAGTGGCTAAAGGATTGGAGCTTCAGCATCAGCCCTTCCAATAAATATTCAGCTTTGATTTCCTTTATGGTCAACTAGTTTAATCTCCTTGCTGTCCAAGGGACTCTTAAGAGTCTTCTCCAGCACCACAATTCAAAATAACCTTGATCAAACCCCTTAACCTCCAAGGGTCTGGGTCCCCCACCCCCTTGGCCATGGTGATCTGGAGGGTACTTGGCGAAGCTTGCATCCTCAGACTGCCTGGGGAGGCTGTCCCAGGCAGTGAATGACAGAGGAAGTGGCCATTTCCAGGCTATTGTGCTGCACACAGAGGGGAGGGAGAAGGCCAGGGGACAAACGGCCAGACTGGGGAGGGCAGCAAATGTCCACTCAGCAGCCTAATGAGGCAAGCAGAGATCACTGAGGCTGCCACAGCACCCTGGCAAAGAAGCTGGGGCGGGGTCCTCCTGCTTTGTGTCCCCATGAGGGCAAGCACAATAACTGGCCCTCCTTTCTCTTGGTGGGGAGAGGCTGATGACTGCAGACTCTGCCGGGCAAGTACGCTGGTGATACAGCTGCAGGTCCATAGCCCCCAGGATGCACAATGACCCTGCACTGTGAGGAATGCTGTCCTCACTTCATAGGTGCCTTGGATGAGGGCTAGTCACCCAGTGACTGTTAGAACAACACTTTCCTCTGGTTCCCCCTTGTCTGTCGATCCCCCTCACCTCTCCTTCTGCACTTTCTGAG